AGATTTATACAAAGAAATTTGGAAATTAGGAGTAATGTGATTGGCTATGCTGTCTGTTGTCAACAAAGTCCATGAGATGCTTCACTTCAGATTTTGATTTTACTTAAGAGTGGATCCTTAAATGTTTTTGAATATATAAGTAAATACAATTTTGCAATGGAATTATTATATTGCTACATTTTTTGTCAGTTTGTTACGATCCTTGCTCAATCAGATATAGGACTGCGTGTAAGTGTAATATGTCTGAACACATAGTGCCCTATGCTTGAATCCAATTGAAGTTGAGATATGAATTGCTTTGTTTGTTGATGGGTTAATTTTTCTGGAGTAGTTTACTGTGGACTCTAAATACCACATTCATTTGACCTACTTAGAACACTTTACTTGGAAGTAAATTCCTGTGCACTCTAAATTTGGGCCGATCTGTCTTAATAAGTAAGATGAGTCCCATGTTCATTATTTGAAAATTATATTCTGAAGAAGAACCATTGATAAGCAATATGATGAAAAAAAGATAAAAGTCAGGAATGAGACACTTGTATTTGGATACTCATGAGTATGTAGATTTTTTTTGCCATAGACTAAAATACTCAATTATGTCTACTTATGACTATGGCCCAAACAAATCTGTTTTGATAATAGTTCTGGAACCAGACAGAATTAAGTTTTGAATTTTAACCCCTGGATCCAGTTGCAATGGTTATGTGAATGGCCAGCATCCCGGGCGTGTGGCGTGTAGGCTGTGCGCACGAACACCCATGAGCGATGACAAGACTCCGTGCCTCCCCTTTGAGTAGTTATTTTATGAAAACTTTTTTAGCTTTGTTGCCATTTTTCAATGTCCTTATTTGTCTTTTGATTTGCTTTATCCAGATGATAATTACTTATTTTCCTTGCACAGACTCCATATCATATCTCTGTAGTAAATAGCTTAGTACAAAAAAAAAAAAAAAAAAAAAAAAAGAAACATTTGGTTATGTGTCATATATATCACATTTTTGAAATATTCAATTTTATGTAATACAACCTGCACTGCTGGTCACAGCGGCCAGGAATACGGTGCGCAGCATGGAAGTGGCGTTCTCCCGGAAGCCGGCGCTCTTCCAGTCACTGCTTACGCACGTTGCATTCCTCATTCGTTTATCGATGGGAATAAGGATAAAGCCCCCTTCTAAGCGCCAGATGAGTTGAATCACACACCAAGAGCTTTGTGCACTCGTGGTGAGCCTTTTCCCTCACCCTGGCTTTCGCTCTTGACGCTTTGTTCACGTCACTCGTATAGCTGCCGAAGTTTTTCCTTGACGTGATTGCAGTGTCATACGAATCCAGGGGTTAATGCAGCATCACATGATAATAAAAAAATGTATGGGAATTAATTTTATTGATTATTTAGTGTAAATTTGCAGCACTTGTATGAGTTATTGGTTGTAGTCAATCATCATCAGTGTCAGAGTTGTTTTTGTATTGAATACCATTATCTTTATTGTTATGAAAATTTGAATTTAACAAATGTTCACTGATTTTATTACTATTTATATATATAGTTTTATTATTATTATTACTATCATTACTATTATTATAGTCGTTATTTTTATTATTATTACTATCATTACTATTATTATAGTCGTTATTTTATTATTATTGTTATAGTAGTTGTTATTTTTATTATTATTGTTATAGTAGTTGTTATTTTATTAATATTATTATGTTATTATTTTTTATATTAATATTATTTTATTATATTATTATTATATTATTATTATTATTGTTATATATTTATTATTATATATTATTATTATTATTATTATTATTATATTATTATTATTATTACATTTATCCTTTCTGAATATAGTTACTAATATTGATAGCAATGCTTAATATGGTAGACATCATTTTGTCATTACTAACATTGATAATGATTTTCTGTTATTTTTGTTACTTTTGTTACTTTTGTTATTGTTGTTATGACTTAGTATTGTTGTTTGTATTATTCTCATTTTGTATTTTTTCTGCTAATGTGTTAATTTTTTTTTTTTATCATACCATTATCATCATTATTGTTATTATGATAATAGTAATAATGATATTTTATCATCATTATTGTTGTAGTTTTGTTGTTTTTATTATATATTATTATTATTATATAATATTATTATTATTATTATTATATTTTTGTTATTATTATTATTATTATTATTATTATTATTATTATTATTATTATTTATTATAATTATCATTATTATTATTATCATTATTAGTATCACTATCATTATCACTATTACCATTATTGTTACTATTATTGTTATTATTATTGATTGTTATTAGTTATATTTATTGTTATTATTATTATTATCATTATCATTATCATTATTATTATTTTATATTATTGTTTTTTTTATTATTAATTATTGTCATTATTATTATTTCTTGTTAGCATTATTATTTATTGTTATTATTATTGTTATATATTGCTATTATTAGTAATTAATATTATTATTATTATTTATTGTTATTATTATTAAGATTTATTATTATTATATATTGTTATTATCATTATTTATTGTTATTATTTTTATTTGTTTGTTATCATTATTTAATCTTTTCTTCTATTCTTCTTTTGTTCTTCTCCTCTTATTATTATTGTTATTGTCGTCGTTGTCCTCCTCCTCCTCCTCCTCATCATCATCATCATCATTCATCATCATCATCATCATCATCATCATCATCATCATCATCATCATCATCATCATCGATCATGATATTTAACATCATAAATATCTTTATTCTATATTTATTTTGAATATTTTTATGATTATTATCAGTTTTATTATGATAATCCAGTCAATATTATTTTTATTATGATTATCATTACTGTGGCAATCATTATTAATATGAGTGTCATTATTAATGTCAGTGTTATCATTATGATTATTATTATTTTCATTATTATTAATTGAAAAGTTTTTCGTTATTATCATTGGTATTAACCCATTAGATCAGGGTGCCTTATAGCCTGTGCTTGAGCCAATATCCATGTTTGCCTTCCTTAAGTGATGACTCTCCTGGGTGTTGCTTGTAGTCCCATCCAGCATGAATGCTTATATTCAGAGACACTTCGGACACTTCTTTTGGAGACCTGGATCTGGAGGTACAGCATCTTGCACCCATATGCACTGAGCTGTCTTGCACTGCAGCCATTCATAGCCAACGTGTTCTGTGGATGGAGGATCGCTAGCGAAATAGGTGTCTGGTGTTTCTGAATAATAGCGGAATACTCATGCTAGATATCAAGTTCACTTGTCTCTCCTTTGCATTGGTATTATCTTGTTTTCTGTATAAGTAAATTTTGCTTTTTTGTCATTTGCCTAAGTTTGTATTTGTTATTTGTTGTGCTGTTTCAAGAGTTTTTACTCTGTAAAAAGTCTAGTATTCTACAAGTTTGTTAGTTATGTAATGTTTAGATATTTTTGCTTTTTTAGATTTTCTGTAAAATACACTGCAAAACACTGGTGATAGTAAGCAAGGATGAGATCCTGAGCATGGAAATAGTGTCCTTCCTAGAGCCGGCACCCTTTCAATCATGGTTTATGGACGATACATTTCTCACTTGTTAACTGGTGGAGATAATGCAAGTGTCCTTTCCTTAATGGCCACTGACTCTGATTTTCCTCCAAAATATATTTGCAGACGAGTCTTTCCTGTTATCCCAGCCCTCAACCAAATTTTTCATGTGACTCTCATCACCTGGATCCAGTGGGTTGAAATTACAGGTGTTGATACTACTGGTCTTTATTATATTTGATGTTTTTATCATGATTTTTATTATCATTGTTATTATGATCATTAGTTTTTATTGCTTTTTCAATTATTGTTGCTGTAATTAAATTTACTACTATTAATATTATTATATTTAAGATGTTATCGTAACCACCACCACCACCACTACCACTAATTATCGTCATCACCAATTATTGTCATCATCATCAATTGTCATCACCATCAATTGTTGTCATCACCAATTGTCATCTTCACCACCAATTGTCATTATCATCACCAGGTGTCGTCATCACCACCAATTATCGTTATCATCACCAATTGTCGTTGTCATCTTCAATTGTCCTTATTCTTGTTATTATCATTATTGTTATTGCTATTTTTATTCTTCTAGTTGGAATTTTTTTTTAATGATCATCATTATTGATATTACGGTTATTGTTATTAGTCTATAGATTTTCTATCCATGTAGATATTATTATTATTATTATTATTATTATTATTATTATTATATTATTATTGTTATTATCATTGTTATTATTATTAAAATAAATAATATTATTATTATTATTTATTTTTATTATTATTATTATTATTATTTTTATTATTATTATTATTATTATTATTATTATTATTATTATTATTATTATTATTATTATTATTGTTATTGTTATTGTTATTGTTATTGTTATTGTTATTGTTATTGTTATTATTATTATTATTATTATTATTTATTATTGTTATTATTATATTATTATTTATTATTATTATTATTATTATTATTATTATTATATTAATATTATCATTTTTATTAATATTATTATTATTATTATTATATATGAACATTAACTTAATTATCATTATTATTATTATCATTATTTTAATTGTTGTTGTTCTTATTATTGATTATTCGTTATTATCATTTTTGTTGTCATTATTATTGTGGTTATGAGGATAATATTTATGTTACTATTATTGTTGTTATTATTATGGCTTCTTTTGCAAAACCTGGGTAAAGTAGGTTTCTAAATTGTCAGCTACAAATTTTGTATTTGAAATTATTAAATGTTTAAAGTCTCTTCCCTTTTTCATTGCTAGATATGTGTGTAAAAAGTTGTTGGACTAAATTAGTCATAAAGAAATTTTAGAGAAGTGATGCAGTAAACAAAGTTGAAACACATAGTTCTTTTTTCCACTTCCTAATTTTTAAATATCATTTCCATTAGGATGAGTGGAGACGGAGGGGAGGAGGACCAAGTGGCAAAAGTGGAGGCTTCTGCTCCTATCTCCACCATTACCACAACAACTGCTACAACTACTGTGACAAACAATACCTCCACCACCACGACAATACAACCAACTGCAGAACCTGTGGCCTCATCATCATCCTCTGCATCAGCTGTGAATGCCATTGTAACTCCAACCATCACCACTGCAGCATGTGCAGCAACCCCATCAGCAACATGGACTTCCCCAACAGTAGCAGTTGCAGCCGAAGATGGGGCAGAGGAAGAAGAAGGCGAAGAAGAAGGCAGCACAGCAGATGAGCCCAGCAGCTCCCCAGAACGTGTCCTCATCACAGCAGAACAGCTAGCGGTGCTCACCAGGGAGGAGATGGTAGAGAAATGGGTGCAGCAAGAGAAGTTCATTGATAGTTTACAGGCCAAAGTGGATGTGCTTGAAAGAGAAGGTGAGATTCAAAGGCTCTTTTGTTATTAGGTATTTACCCAATATTTTGATGTTCCTTGTGTAGCTGGTATTTTATCTTTGAAAAGTTTTGTGTTTTTCTTATTAGCTGTGATGCTTTTTCTTGATGTGTACTTTTTATTCATAAATGATCTTTTGGTAAAGATTGCATTTAACTTTGGAAGATATTGAATCATAAGAATTAAAATTTTGCTACAGATATATCCATATGTGACATATTTGGTTGTATTATCTTCTCTCTCTATGGCATTGATTCATTAAGGTTGGAAAAATAGGCTTATCAACCAGCCCTCACACTTTTTTGTTTATAATATTTGAATCAGTTTCTATATTTAAAGTATATCATTACATAACAGGGAGAATGTCATAGCCTGAAACAAAATGTGATCAAATAAAGCTATTTCTTAAGTAGGGAGATTTATAAATTGAGAAAAAGATATACAAAATAGATTTACAATTACAGTCATTCAAAAATACATATATGTTCATATTAGTTTAATAGTAGTTTCTTCATCCCTTTTGTTTTTTTGTTGATTATGATATACTTTTTGATAAATAATTGTAAGTTAAGGTAGTAGTAGATTCAGAAAGCATGTTTTTATTATTTATTATTTATATATATAATATATATATATATATATTAATATATATATTATATATATAATATATATATTATATAATTTTTTTTACTGAAGAATAACAAAATGCAAACAAGATTATATAATTTTCATTGGTCCTATTGCAAAGACATGTCTTTTTATTGTGAAGAAATTTCTCCTCTTCCAAATCCTCTTACTTCTCCTCCTCCTCCTCTTCCTTTTCTTTTTCTTCCTCCTCTTGGTCATCATCATCCTTCCTCCTTCCTCCTCTTCCTCCTTATTCTTATTCTTTTCTTATTCTTATTCTTATTGTTTCTCTCCCTCTTTCTCTCCCATTTCTTTCTTTGTTCATTTGAGAAGCACTTACTGCATATTATACTTCTGTGCAGATGAAACTTTGGTTACAGTTGTCATATAACTGTATTATTTGCTTTTGCCTCAGTGGAAGAATTGCGTGGTGTGCGGGAGAATGAGGAGAGACTGAAAGGACAACTGGCAGAGATTCAGCGGAAAGAGCAGTATCACATAATGAGGCTTTCCAGTAAGGAGCATGAATTGCAGGACATGGGAGTAAGTTCAGCTTTTTTTAACTCTTAGGTGTTTTGATGTCCTAGTATAGAGAACAAACAAACATATATGATAACTGTTGTTCAGTAATATTGCATTCAGCTTTTACACTTGCTTTTTGCCCCCCCCCTTTTATTTTTTTCCCCCTGTAACCTTGCTAAAAAATAAAAAAAAGTGTGAAATTCCATGCCTGCATTGACTTGACACTTGAAATATTTTTTACTTGAAATGTTATTATTGGCTATGCAAGGCATAAAAGTGAGAAAACACTTAACTTCAATGAACAGGAAATTGAACAGCAGTTATCCACTTGAGGTAGTCTTCTCCCCAGTCAGCATCACTGAAGAAAATGTTTATGAAGATTATGTTCCCTCTTTCTAGGCCCAGATCCAGGAGCTGAAAAGCATGTCGGCTGGCATGAGTGGCCTGAAGCACTGTCTACTAGATCCAGCTGTCAACTTGCTGTTTGAGCGGCTTAAGCGGGACCTTGACACAGCACGCACCAAGATGGAGGAGACCCAGAATGAACTCTCGGCATGGAAATTCACTCCCGATAGGTGTGCCCCCCGTGCTTAGTTTATTCGGCCGCACTCGCCTGCTCCCAATATCTTACTCTGGCAGCTATCATAAAAACAGTGACTGTTTTATCGATAATGGGGCTGAGCATTCCCTAGTATCAGGCTCATAATTACTTGTATTATAAAAACAAAAAGTTTACGGTGACTTTCCCTGGTTAAGGAGTTCCGTTCTCCACATGTCAGATGTTAGCGATTTTCAGAAACTGACTGTTGATTGGTGAAGCAGCCACATATAAAAATAAAAACGATTGTAGTGACCATTCCATTTGTGCTGCAACCACCTGTTTGTGCCCCTTTATATGTGTTAAGGGATTCAAGCAATATTCTTTCATTGACTTCCACCTCCAAGTGAGTCTCATTCCTGGTTCAGTTAGTCACCGTAACCGTTTAATATCAAGTGACTTTTTGCTCAACGAAGATATAGTCATTAAAGCCCAGTCGTAAAAGTGACTGTAGCCATCTTTTTGGAACGATATAAAAGACCATTGGCTCTATAATACCCAAATTGGCCATTGTATGTGCATTGGAAAATCTATTGTGGGCTATGACTATGGTTATTGATAAAAGAAAATCAAAATAGATGTATGGGCATTAGAAACTTATTTGGGTGGTAGACAATCAGACAGTTTTTCGTGGCTGATGCCTGCCGTCTGTGTTGTTGGAAGAAGGAGAACTGTGGGTGATTGACGTTGGAGATGACCCTGACAATAGACATTCCCTTGAACTTTTGTTATAAATGCAGAGACTTAGTAGTTTTCTTCATTTCAAGACAAAGTTAAAACGTCTTATCATCTTCCTTTGAAAAGTAAGTGGAAGGTATTTGAACTTCTTGTTCTACATCTCTTAGATAGTAATTCTCTGATGGGGCCTTTGGGTTTCTTATAAACTCATGTTACTTTAATGATAACCAAGAAATAGAAATGAATGAAATGATGTTCCTTTCATTTTTAATGTCAGTGGTCTCTAGAATTGATTATATATGCTCTTATATATCTATATATCTCTCTCTCTCTATATATATATATATAATTCCTCACCTTTAAGAATATAATTGTAGGTCAAAGCTGCTGTGGTGTGGTTGATTATCATTATAAAGCAGTCAATGTTACCATTTTATCTCATGAAAGCTTGCCAGAATCCTTACATCTGTAGAAACCATTTATAATGGTTAGTCATTTACCAGAAAAGTATGATTTTAAGAAGAAAAAAGATTTTGGGTAAATTGGCTGATTAGGAAAGGAGTGTGCAGGCTATTGTTGAGTATATGGGGATCTCAAAAATATTAAAATTCATTTGTCAATATTCACTTTTTAAATTTGCTTAGCTTCTTTAGATTTTCTTTATGTGATGAAGGGGTTTGTAGCTAAAGATCAACTAGAAGATATCTGGGGAGATTTTTTATTCAATGATGATATGATGTATAAAGCAGAACGGTTTAATTTTTTTGTTTTATTTTTAATGATATTTATCTGTTACAGGATAATCGTCAGTATATATTTTAGAGTTTATATTTCTGTGTTGTAGTTTTCTTCTTATTGAGTGTTATATGTTCTTACATTTATGACTTATGTAAAACAAGAGAGGTGAATAATACCTTTGAATGTGTATTAGTCATTGATATATACTCATGTATTCTATGCATGTCTTGACACGTACATCCAAGAAGCTTCCTTTCTCAGACCATCATAACTTTTAAACATTGAATATGATGTTTATATATTCAGCTGATATGTGCCAAGGCCTATGCTGATGGATAATCAAAAGTGTAGGATATGTATATAAGGACGCTTACATCTATTTGTGGGAAGATTTATTTGATTTGTTTCTCTAGTCCAAAAATAGTGAGGGCATACAAATGTGAATTTAAAGCACATGAGGATAAACTTAATTGGCTAGATTATTATTGTTATTATTGTTATCATTATCTTTGTTATTGTAATTATTATTATTATTATTATTATTATTATTATTATCATTATCATTATCATTATCATTATTGTTATCATTTTATTTTATTTGAATTTTTAATTTTTTACTTTATTTTTATTTTATTTACTGTTTTTATTTATATTTTTTGTGTGCATCAGCATAACGGCAGTCATTTAGGAGTCATAACCCTTCAAAAATAAGCTGAAAGACAAAATTCAGCCTCGCTAATTGGGCTTTGTGGAGAGGAAGAAATATATTTCCTGTGCTTCAAATATGTCTAGTGTGATTTTGGCTGCATGCAGTGCCTCAGTCTGGCACAGAAACATCCATCCATCTACTCAGTGTTATTTATACTTGCCCTGGAATTATATTCAGATGTTAGTATAGTATTTTGATATTTATATAATTTTTTTTGTCTTTCCATTATGTTAGATGGATAATTCAAAAAGGCAAGTGACTTTTTTTAATTAGAGAAAACAAACTAGTAAAAATGACACAGATTGTTCATTCATGTTTCCTTGGATACTTTGAATGAGACATTGATAGCATAATAACTATTCATGAAATAGGCCTACCCTAGAATTATAATGTTCATGTTCCTTTCAATTTATTTAACCCAATGCCGCCGGGTAAAAGAGTTTGGAAAGTGGAGAGTTTCCCCTATTTGCGTCTGGCTCATTTGGTAGTTTGAGAGCATCATTCCTCACGTAAAAGCTTTTATTTTGCTATGATTTATAATAATATAATAAATTTAAAGGATTACCTTCATTTTAGGTGCTATTGCCTAAGAGCTATACCATGTATATGAAGCCGCTACTATCGGAGAAAAACAAACTCCAACTCATCAGCCAATGACGTGGGAATGGTCATGATACAATGCTGTCTGCTTCTCTGTCCACAACAGTCATGGCATGTACATACATGCCACCCGACAACAAGTGGTTAATTAATTGCTCATTTCTAAAAGCATATTTTGAATACAGAAAGACTTTGCAAAACATTTTTTATATGAATAGGAAGGCATTATATTATTAGGACAATCTTTAGAAAAATTATGGGGAATGCAATCATGATGAGATGATAATAGATTATTAAAATTTTAATTCAGATTCATATGCTTTACAATAATATAAATTGCAAATGCAGTTGCATACACCTACATATGTGAGTATGTCTTTTTTAATCTAGATATCTCATTCAACAAGGCAAGCTTATTTTCTAGTAGGTAGAAATTTATTTTAAAAGGATTCAACATACTGAAAGAAATTGATAGCTGGCAACAAAAAGTTCTCTGCTAGTTTGAAATATTGCTCACTTTCACTCAATATAGCACAAGTATGTGTGTGTGTATCCAACACAGATATGTAATTGTTTAGTCCATCCTTTTTTCTTTTTTTTTTGAATAGGAAATGATACTGAATTTTTCTGAGAAGTTTGTCCCCATCAAAATCTGATGAAAGCCATAATGAGGTTGTGATTTATGTTTGAATAAGAGCACAATTTTTTGGCTTAGGTAAGTTTGAGGTATAATGAATAATGAATTGCTGACAGAAAATTAAATTGCAGTCTCTTTTTATAGAGCTGTTGTCAGATAGTTTACACTAATGTGTTTAGTTTAGAAAAGCCAACAGAAATTTTTATTTTTCCCTATTCCCCTAGTTTTGTGGATATTTGGTGGTTTGATTGGAAAACATTATACTGCTTTGAAATGTAAGTTCGTCCTCTACTCTTTCATAATCACTCTAAGGAAAAGGTGCATGGCTGTACATTTTAAGGCTTCATTTCTTATACTAGCTAATGCACTCCTCAACAAACACTATGGTTATGCTTTTTCAGCCAGGGAATTGTTAGACCCTCATGAAAAACTGTCATTGTGGTCTGTGTGTATTTTTTTGTGTGTACATTATGTTAAAAAGCATGTCAAAAAATGGTGCATGAAGAGTAGTTCTCTCTGTGTCTCTCTCTCTCTCTCTCTCTGTCTCTCTCTCTCTCTCTCTCTCTCTCTCTCTCTCTCTCTCTCTCTCTCTCTCTCTGTGTCTCTCTCTCTCTTCTTGTCTCTTTCTCTCTTTGTGTCTCTCTCTCTCTCTCTCTGTGTCTCTCTCTCTCTCTCTGTGTCTCTCTCTTTCTCTGTCTCTCTCTTTCTCTGTCTCTCTCTTTTCTGTCTCTCTCTCTCTCTGTGTCTCTCTCTCTCTCTCTCTGTGCGTCTGTGTCTCTCTCTCTCTTGTGTCTCTCTCTCTCTGTGTCTCCTCTGTTCTCTCTCTCTCTGTTCTCTCTCTCTCTGTCTCTCCTCTCTGTCTCTCTCTCTCTCTCTCCCCTCTCTCTCTCTCTCTCTTTCTCTCCTTCTCTCTCTCTCTCCTCCTCTCCTCTCTCTCTCTCCTCTCTCCCTCTCTCTCTCTCTCTCATCTCTCTCTCTCCTCCTCTCTCTCTCTTCTCTCTCTCTCTCTGTCTCTCTCTCCTCTTGTCCTCTTCTCTCTTCTGTCCTCTCTCTCTCTCTCTCTCTCTCTCTCTCTCTCTCTCTCCTCCTCTCCTCTCTCCTCTCTCCCTCTCTCTCTCTCTCTCTCTCTCTCTCTCTCCTCTGTCTCTCTCTCTCTCTGTCTCTCTCTCGCTCTTCTCTCTCTCTTCTGTCCTTCTTCTCGTCTCTCTCTCTCTTCTCTCTCTCCTCTCTCTCTCTCTCTCTCTCTCTTCTCTCTCTCTCTCTCTCTCCTCTCTCTCTCCTCCTTCGTCTCTCTCTCCCTCTCTCTCTCTCCCTCTCTCCTCTCTCTCGT